TGGCTGACGTGAAGAAAACGCTGAACGACCTCAAACTTGGGGATGGAACTACAGCTCCCGTAGTAGCTACAGCACCTTCGCTACATGGATTCAAAGTGCCGCCGTTCGACGGGACTTCTTCCTGGTCGGCCTACAAAATCCAGTTCGAGGCCGTCATGGAGGCAAACGGCTGGAATAAAAGCCAGGCATGACTGCACTCACCTTAGGCCTGCGCGACCAAGCCTTAACCGTGTTGGAAGCTCTCGGTAAGAAAGTGACCTACGAGTAGCTCCTTGAGGCATTGGAGGCGAGATATGGTGACGCTCACCCGGAACACGTCTTTCGCGCGCAGGTTAAAGATCGCGTGCAACGCAGCAACGAAAACCTGCAGCAGTGGGCCCTTGAGGTGGAGAAGATGGTTCGAAAAGCATACCAGTCTGTACCTGCGCTCATTGAAGGGAACCTGGTGCAGACATTCATCGACGGTATCCGCGACCTTGAAGTCAGAGCTGCTGTGAGGCTGGGGCACCACGAGACGCTTAAGGACGCCTTGGCCCATGCACTGGAGGTGGCAGCCGTGCAGCAGGATCTTCGCTCCCATCGCGTCAGGGAGATTGCAGCAGCTACGGTACGCGACCGCAATAAAGGATACAGCCCTAGGTGCTATGGCTGTGGGGAAAGGGGCCATCTTCGATCCAGCTGCCCTAAGCGAACCGTAGAAAGGGAAAGTGAACGATATCAGGAAGGTGGTGCGGCTACCAGCCCCGCCCAGCAGCAGCAGGGAAACGAGTAAAAGCCAGAACTGCGGGGCGGGTGCTGGCTGATGTTAAAAGAGCCCCAAGGATCTCGATCTCACAAACCCATGATGGGAACAGCCTAATCATCAAGGGCGAGATCAACGGAATGCCGTGTAAACTGATCATAGACACCGGAGCCTCTCGCACGGTTGTTAGTTCCCAACTTATAAGACAGTTCCTTGGGGACTCCGCATACAACCGAGAACGCATTAATTTTGTAACAGCCGCCGGTCAGCGTGTACCCGTCCGTATAGAGAAGGAGATGGAGTTGAAGCTAGGCAATGTGATCTACCTTCATAATGTCATCGTGGCTGATATAATGGACGACTGCATCCTAGGCCTAGACTTTATGAGGAATAATTGTTGTGAGATCGACGTTGAGCAAGGTGTTTTGAAATGTGGACAGGAGGAACTTTTTATGGAAGGTGCGTTACCAGGGGACGTGTACAGCATTAAGAAGATTGTTCTTCCGCCGAGATCGGAAACGATTGTTCCGGTTAGTCTTCCTCGAAACGCTGGGCAAGCTCACCGTTGTGTACTTGTGGAAAGGGTAAACAATGACCTTCCATGGAAAGTAGCTCGAACCTTGGTCAGAACCACTGACATCTCAAGAGTACGTGTGCTGAACCTTTGTGACCGGGAACAGATTATAGAAAAAGGCACACTGGTTGGTACTTGTGAGGAAGTGGATTGGTTACGTCGGTGCCAATATATATCGAGTGGGACCCCCAGCAAGGATTCAGAAACGAGAGTGACCACACTTTTGGAAGACTGTCGCAGTGTTCTCTCCCCGAACGAATTGGTCAAGGCGAAGAAGTTGTTGCTCAAGTACGCCGATGTATTCTCATCAAACGATGCTGACATAGGAAAGACTGGCTTAGTTCAACACAATATAAGCACAGGAGAGGAATTGCCTATCCGTCAGCGGCCAAGAAGATTGCCGGTAGCACGTGAAAAGGAAGTGGAAACCATGATTGAGGGAATGGTGAAGGATATTGTTATTGAACCTTCATCTAGTCCATGGTGTTCACCCGTGGTGCTGGTAAAGAAGAAGGATGGCAGCATGCGGTTCTGTGTTGATTACCGCCGTATGAACGACGTTACAAAAAAGGACAGCTATCCCTTGCCAAGAGTTGATGACACGCTGGACATGCTTACAGGTGTAAACTGGTTTAGCACGCTGGATCTAAAAAGTGGCTACTGGAAAGTTGAAATTGACCCTAAGGACAAGGAGAAAACTGCGTTCTCGACGGGAAAGGGTCTGTGGCAATTCAAAGTAATGCCGTTTGGGTTGTGCAATGCTCCAGCAACGTTTGAAAGGCTGATGGAGCTTGTACTTACTGGGCTAATTGGCGATGCCTGTCTGGTCTACTTGGATGACATTATCATCGTGGGCCGTACGTTTGAGGAACATCTTTAGAACCTGGAACGCGTGCTCATGAAGTTTCAGAGTGCCAACCTCAAGTTGAGTCCGAATAAATGTTCACTATTCAAACGGCAAGTCAACTTTTTGGGGTATGTAGTGTCGGAAGAAGGTATCCGCACGGATCCGGAAAAAATCGCCGCTGTCAAGGATTGGCCGGTTCCAAAAGACAAGACGCAGGTTAGAGCATTTTTGGGTTTGTGCTCCTATTATCGGCGATTTGTGAAGAACTTCGCAGATATAGCCAAACCTCTGCCCAAGCTAACCGAGGAGAAGCGACATTTCTGCTGGGATGAAAGTTGCAATATCGCATTCCAGGAGCTCAAGAACCGTCTGTGCAAAAAACCTATTTTGGGATACCCTGATGCAAGCAAAGAATTTATAGTTGACACAGACGCAAGTGATATAGGACTTGGCGGTGTGTTGTCTCAACGGAATGGTTACCAAGAGGTCGCGATAGCGTACTTCAGCAAGTCATTGTCAAAACCAGAAAGGAACTATTGTGTCACAAGACGCGAATTGCTAGCTGTGGTAAAGTCGTTGCAGCATTTTAGGAAATATCTTCTGGGGCGAAAATTTCACTTACGAACTGTCCATGCTGCACTAAAATGGCTATTGCAGTTTAAAAATCCAGAAGGACAAGTTGCGAGGTGGATTGAACTACTGCAGGAATATGACTTTGAGATCGAACATCGCAGCGGGAAATCTCATGGCAACGCAGATGCATTGTCAAGAAGACCTTGTCCTGAAGATTGCAAACATTGTACTAGGCAAGAAAGTAAGGAAGTGGTATCCGTGAGGATGCTCAGGGCAGACCACCTCAGCAACGAGTGGAAGGACAGCTTACAACGTGCACAGCAGGAAGATCCGGACATCAAGCCGATTCTGGAATGGATGAAGGCCAGTGCTCCCAAGCCCAAGTGGAGCGACGTCTCAGCGATGAGTTCGACCACTAAAAGCTATTGGGCCCAGTGGGACAGCTTGTTTCTTCAGGATGGAGTTCTCTGCCGTAAATGGGAAAGTGTTCGGGGAGACAGCTGTCATTTGCAAATGGTTGTCTCTAAAGCTAAAGTACCGGATGTTCTACAGCTGTACCATAATGATTATTCAGGAGGCCATCTGGGAGTTAAACGAACTCTACTGAAGATCTGAGAACGGTTTTATTGGGTCCACTGTCGAAACGATATCGAGGACTGGTGTCGCAAATGCACAAGTTGTGCGGCTGTAAAGCGACCTCAGACTCGTAGTAGAGGTGCATTGAAGTTGTACAATGTTGGTGCACCATGGGAGAGAATAGCCGTTGACGTGGCGGGGCCGTTTCCGGAGAGTGAAAGCGGTAACAAGTATTTCATGGTTGTGATGGATTACTTCACTAAGTGGCCAGAAGTCTTCGCCATTCCAAATCAAGAAGCTTCAATAGTTGCAGATAAACTAGTTCATGAAGTCTTCTGTCGTTTTGGAGTACCTTTGGAGATTCACAGCGATCAAGGAAGGAATTTTGAGTCTCAAATATTCCAGGAAACTTGCCGAGTTATGGGTACTCATAAAACAAGAACGACTTCTTATCACCCGCAATCTGATGGAATGGTAGAACGATTTAATCAGACATTGGAGAGGTACCTAGCAAGAGTTGTAGACAATCGGCAACGAGCTTGGGACAAGTACATACAACCGTTTTTATTGTCATATCGAAGTTCTGTTCACGAAAGTACAGCAGTGACACCAGCTTTCGCAAACTTTGGAAGAGAATTACGGCTGCCTGCAGACCTGATCACCGGGATACCACCTGATACCCGACGCAGTATAACCGATTATGCAAATGACTTGCGGAACAAAATGATTGACATTTATGAGCACGTCAGACAATCGGGCCAGCAAATGTCTGAGAAAATGAAAACCCGGTACGACCGCAAAATGAACAATAAAGGGTTCGACGAAGGTTCACTAGTGTGGTTGCACAATCCAGTCCGCAGCAAAGGCAAATCTCCTAAGCTTCAAGCTAAATGGGACAGCCCGTACCGGATTGTGACTAGGATCAACGATGTAACCTACCGGATACAGAAAGGCGCAAGAAGGTCCATGTGGATCGCCTGGCACGTTATTATGGGGCCGATAATGCTCGGAACGAGCATGTCTTAGGAGGGGGCAGTGTTACGCGCCTAAGTCGACAGCACTAGCGCCATCTAGTGTCAGAGACGAGAGCGAGGGGAGCTTTCCAGAAAATGACATCACTAATCTTTCAATCGACAGCGCCATCTAGTCCCGAACCGAAGAACTAAACTTCTAGAAGTTGAAACTCGAACTCTCGGTACCTTGCGCGTGTTTACTTGAATATTCTGGATATTTCGGTGCTAATTTATATTTATAGGCGCTGCAAGATGCGATCGGTGAAGTAGTGAAGTTGGCGAGACAAGCGAAGCTTCAGAGCGGAATAAAGTGAATCAGTGTGATTAATTATTAGTGTTTTTAACTTTAATTAGTGTAAAGTGAATTAGTGTTAATTTAGGTAATTCTATCGGCAATTTTTATTGTCACGAACCTCAAGCTTGTAACAATATAATAATCCACTAAAAAGGTGGAAAGTAATATACGAAGTAATTTTACTATTCAGTTTTGTAAGTTGTACGAAATGCAATGTTAATGCACCACGTATTTGTTGCATTATGAAATTTTAACGATTAAAACTGTTATAAAAGCAACAGTTAAATGCAAGTAATGTATTCATTGTTTAACTCCTAAGAAAACACCTCACAAACAATGTCGACGTTTACCTTTTTCCTGTTCTGTGCACAAGTATGATTATGACTCAGGTAATTACATTAAGGAGTTCTTCGTTTAAAAAATATGTATAGCTAAAAAAATATAAAGTTAAATGTAAAGAGAATCGCTTTTATTTAAGAGCAGGAACGGATTATATTTCAATCCCAGTATATATTTAATTGTATATTTTCAGAATGCATACTGCCATTGTTTGGACATCGGACGTGGCTTGGGATATGCTCCGGCTATTATCGCGGAAAATGAGCTCGGTTGCGGAGCCGCTCTTGCGGCGGATATAGCTTACGGTCCTGGTTTCGCTCCTGACATGGCGTACGGATATGGATACGGTCTCGCTGGTCCAGCTACTCTGGCAGGTCCTGCTGCGTATGGTGCAGGCCCGGCTTATGTCGGCGCTGGTATACGAGACATAGCGGTCACTGGCGAGATGTCAGTCGTCGGTAGTTCTCTTGTCGCAGGTTAGGTGCCCATCCTTGGTGCCGTGCGGTTCGGAGATGATGTTACTGCTGGTGGTGTGGTGTCCATCACTGGAAGATGTGGCTGCGGTTGCGGTTGCAACGGACCCTGTGGGTACTGATAGAAAATCACAACATAATAGTTTGAATAGTTAGTAACGTGTTTATTTTGTAAATAATAGAAGTACAAATGTTTGTTATTATATGTTCAAATATTTGATTTCCCGCAGCAGATGGAATTTTAATAATTTTTTTTAAATATACAAACTGGAATTTATGTTAAGACGAGGTCTTAGCACTTTTTAACAGTGGTAGAGCCACGCGGCAGCTTTGCTGTCGCACGTATGGGCCGGCTCAAACCGGGGTGGTACCACGACCTCACAGAATACCGGCGTGAAGTGGAAGCTCTGCTTCCGCGTTTCGTCTGGTGAGTGCAGGTGGCCGGAGGCCCAAATCCCCCCCCCCCCATCAACATGGTAGCGGAATTAAATGATAGACTACCCCAGGAGGGTACCAGCACCCCTGGAGAATCCCTCGCTGAGCATCCACGACCATGTTTCTCCACTTCTGAGCGTGGGTGCTCAGGCTGCCCCGCGTATTCTGGGGGGGGGCAATATTCCGCTCAAGACTAAAACTGCTCGGGGCAAACGGAGCAACAAGACCAAGGCGACCCCTGCCACGCTGTCCGTGAATTTCTGCAATATCAGGGGACTTCACTCTAACCTAAACGCCGTCCACTACCATCTCGAGACGGCGAGGCCGGCTCTGCTCTTTCTGACCGAGACGCAGGTGTCCTCTCCGGCTGATGTCTCGTATCTCTCCTACCCGGGGTACAAACTGGAACACTCCTTTGTGCCTCGGGCTGGAGTTTGCGTTTACGTCAGAGAGGACATCTGTTCTCGACGCCTCGGCAGACTTGAAGGTTCGGACCTGTCCATCCTTTGGCTACGCGTAGACAGCGACGACCATCCGCGCGTCTACGGGTGCCTCTATAGGTCCCATAGCGGTAATGCCGAAACAGACCGACTCTTCGACCACGTCCAAATGGCTGCAGATTCGTTGCTACAGCAGATCCCCTCCGCAGAGATCGTGATCCTCGGCGACTTCAACGCCCATCACGCCGAATGGCTCGGTTCACGTTTAACCGATCATGCGGGGAGATCTGTTCGTGATTTTGCCTTGGCATATGGTCTGACACAACTGGTTACTTCGCCTACGCGGATTCCAGATGTGGAGGATCATGCACCTTCCCTGTTGGACCTTCTGCTGACCTCTCACCCGGACGGATATCAGATTTCCGTCGACGCCCCTTTAGGCTCCTCGGATCATTGTCTTGTCCGGAGTGTGGTGCCACTCACGCTGAAATCGCGGTTGCATTCTGCAGGCTGCCGCCGTGTTTGGCACTATAGGTCAGCTGATTGGGATGGGATGCGGTCTTTCTTTGCATCCTACCCTTGGGGGCGGGTTTGCTTCTCGCCGGATGATCCCAACGTTGTTGCGGATTCTGTCGCTGATGTGGTACTTCAGGGTATGGAACTTTTTATTCCTTCCTCTGTGGTGCCCATTGGAGGCAAATCTCAGCCATGGTTTGGTCGCTCCTGTAAAATAGCATCATGCTATAAGCAGGAGTGCTACCAAGCCTGGGCTGACGCATCAGCGTCCAGGGATGTAAACACCAGCGCTCTAAAAAAGAAGTATAATTCCGCCTCTAGGTCCTTCAAAAGAGTCATTGCCAAGGCAAAGTCAGAGCACATAGGCAGAATTGGCGAGAGACTAGTTCGTCTTCCTTCTGGAACCCGTGCATTCTGGTCTCTCGCCAAGGCTGTCCAGGGGAATTTCTGTCAGCCATCTCTTCCATCTCTGCACAGGGAGGACGACTCACTGGCCCACACCGCAAAGGAGAAAGCCGATCTTCTAGGCTCTTTCTTTGCGTCTAACTCGACTCTCGATGACGGGGGGAGTACGCCGCCGACCATCCCGCGGTGTGAGTGCTCCATGCCGGAAGTGCACTTCACTCAGCGCTCGGTTCGCAAAGCACTCCTCTCCCTGGACATCCATAAGTCGAGTGGGCCTGTTGGAATCCCCCCCAATTGTGCTGAGGACGTGTGCTCCAGAGTTGGCACCGGTTTTAACGCGTCTTTTCCGGTACTCCTACTCCCTAGGCGTAGTCCCAAAATCATGGAAGACGGCTTTCGTCCACCCGATCCCTAAAAAAGGCGACCGCTCAGACCCGTCCAACTACCGGCCTATCGCCATCACCTCCTTGTTCTCCAAAATAATGGAGTCCATTGTAAACTGCCAGCTCATGAGGTACCTTGAGGATCACCAGCTGATTAGTGACCGCCAATACGGTTTTCGCCGTGGTAGGTCAGCTGGTGATCTTCTGGTCTACCTAACTCACAGATGGGCGGAGGCAGTAGAGTCCAAGGGGGAGGCATTGGCCGTTAGTTTGGACATTGCGAAGGCCTTCGATCGGGTTTGGCACAAAGCGCTTCTTTCGAAGCTCCCTTCCTATGGGCTTCCCGAGAAATTGTGCGATTGGATCACCAGTTTTCTTGCAGATCGGAGCATCAAGGTCGTTGTAGACGGTGCAAGCTCCGATTGCAAGCTTATTAATGCTGGTGTTCCACAGGGCTGCGTGCTATCGCCAACGCTGTTTCTTCTGCATATCAATGATATGTTGCAAACCCGTAGCATTCATTGCTATGCAGATGACAGCACTGGTGATGCTCTTTACACCGGCCGAGCAAATATTTCTCGGGAAAACGTCTCTGAGTGCCGGGACAAACTTGTGTCTGAAGTCGAGTCTCTGCTGGACAGAGTCTCGGATTGGGGGCTACTAAATCTAGTCCAGTTTAACCCCCAGAAGACACAAGTTTGCGCGTTAACCGCTAAAAAGAACCCCTTTGTCGTATCCCCTCAGTTTCAAGGCACTCCCCTTGTTGCCTCAGCCAGTATCGGAATCCTCGGCGTCGACATATCGAGTGACGTGCAGTTTCGTGGTCACTTGGAAGGGAAGGCCAAATTGGCCTCTAAAAAGCTTGGCGTGCTCAGCAGAGCGGGACAGTATTTCATGCCGGCACACCGCCTGCAACTTTACAAGGCGCAGGTTCGGCCGCTCATGGAATACTGTTCCCATCTCTGGGCTGGGGCTCCCCAGTACCAGCTCCTTCCACTTGACCGCATCCAGCGCAGAGCGGCTCGAATCGTCGACGACCGAGTGCTTTCCGATCGGCTCGATTCACTGGCGCTGCGAAGAGATGTTGCATCTCTTTGCGTATTTTATCGCATCTATCACGGGGAGTGCTCTGAGGAATTGTTCGGATTAATCCCAGCCGCCAAATTTCGTGAACGCACTACACGGCAAACGTCCCGATACCATCCACACCATCTGGATGCTTGGCGGTCCACCACTGTACGTTTCAAAAGGAGTTTTCTTCCGCGTACAACCTCTCTGTGGAATAATTTACCACCGGTGATTTTTCCGGACCGATACGACCTGGGGACCTTCAAGAAAAGAGCTTACTCCTTTCTAAAGGGCCGGCAACGCACCTGCAATTCCCCTGGTGTTGCGGTTGATCATGGGCGGCGGTAGTCACTTAACATCAGGTGAGCTCATGCTCGTTTGCCCCCCTCTTCTATAAAAAAAAAAAAAAAAAACGATTTCAAATTCGTTTTTCACCCGCACGTCTTGCAGTGGGCGGAGCGAAGCCGGCAGTCGGAGAGCGTACCGTGAACACCGTATGCGCAAAGCAAGCAGACATTCACCTCCAAACAAAAACTTTTCCGTGAGGTCTCCTGTTCGCAACACTACTACTAGGTATTATAGTAATAATATTTTGAGTACCTACTCACTAATATCAAAACTGTTTATGAGGTCTGAAGTCTGGACATCATACTATATTTTAATTATCAATATTTTTAAAGTCAGTTTTATGATATGAGCTGGTACCAAGTCAATTATTTACATACATACGTATACATTTAATACGCTAACTCACAAATTCTAAAAAAACCTAAGTTTCGTTGGCAAAATAGCTAAAATAACAGAAAAAGAATAGTTTCAAATAAAACCATTTGAAAATTCAAATTTATTTTACTGTTTTGTATTACCTTACCTCCGGACTTGATAGTGTGACCCTGAAGGTGTACTTTAATAATCGCTATTGGAACTGGTCACCGAATACTACTAGGTGTGCCGAGTTTGGGCTCGTTTTGTTAGGTATGATGAGTCCTTACCTCCGGACTTGACGAAGTGACCTGAAGGTTGTACTTTGGTAACCACTAAATAAATGAGAATGGGATTTTTGGGCCTGAAGTCAACAAATTAGTATGTACTTTAAAAAATTTTGCTTCATTTTTTCTGAATTTAAATACATTAAACTGTCTCCTTTTACAATGTAGAATCGAAAAATCATAAAAATAAGTTCTAAAGTTTCATAAAAATTTAGTTATTTACCTTGGATAATATTTAAATGCAATTGAAAGTAATATATATATATATATATATATATATATATATATTACTCGTATAAGGAAAAGAAATAATAAATATTTTTAAGTAAATGATTCGATTAAAATAAAGGATCCATACGCTAGTGAAATTCTCGTTTCTGATCGCTATTAGACACTAAAAGTCTTTTCATTTTAAAACTTGACGGTTCAAAATTCAAAAAATTCACATAATATAAGAAAAAATCTATTTCTCAATCCATCTGAAACGAGCAAAATATAATCGATTCTCGAATAAACCAAGCATTTTAAGACCTATTTTCGGTAATTTTTCTGTGTTAACTATGGTGATAAAAAAGGAATTGCGATCACATTTACAAAATACCTAATAAAAATACAAACCATGCCAACCACTAATAGTAACAACAGCAATTCAAGTAATCGATCAGATACTTTCACTGTAGTACAAATTCGTTTCTGTGATAACCACAGCTTTTCTTTAATGATTTTAAACTGATCCTGCTTTTTTATTTCCCTCGCATATTTATTAGGCACC